TACAACTATAATATTAGTTTGACACACTGCTAGAAAACAATGTCTGTGAGGACTCAGTTAGCTAAGCACAAATCCTGCACAACAAGTTCTTCACATGCCGCACTTGGTTTCCCTGCCGCCACCATTTGCCTTTTTGGTAGCCATAATTCCGTTCAGGAGTGTCATCTAAACGCTCCCAACATTGCGCGTCTGCCTACACATTACAGTTGCTGCTTACAGCGCTGCCGAGGCAACGACCGGAGAACTCAGTCGCCCAAGCGCGGCAATCGGGAGAGGAGCACGCGGGGTGTAGAGCCAAACGGAATGGACCTTTCGAGTAGACACAGCACGTGCTGGTCTTGCATTGGGGCACTGCGAGGAAAGACATGTACAGAAAAGATGATGGAACGTGGTGTTGAAAAGGATAAAAGGATACAAAGGCATTGGGAATAGGCAGAGGCAAGAAGCTAAGCAGCAACTCCTGATTGCAGCATCGTTAGCCGAGAATTCTCGCTTGATATGCAGTCTCCCTTTTGCTGGAAATTCAGAGGTTCACATCATGAGACGACAATGACTGATTGTCATGATATTCACTAACATGAGGTGTCAGAACACGTACGTTTCGTTACGATGTTGCATGCTGAGTCGACGGCGTACGTGCAGTCGCCCGTGACGCTAACTAGGCCCTTGGGAGGAATGACCGCGTCAAGCGGCGAGACTGGCTGGCTGATGGGGAGCAGCGTGTTGTACGTGACTACTTTGAACGACACCGTGCCATCCTCCGCCTCCTGTCGACCGCACACAGTGTAAAGGTCGACGTTCGCGAATGCGGAAGGAACCCGTACGACGATCGCGAGAAGGAGAAGGATAAGGAGGGTAGGAAGCGCAGAAATCGCGCGGATGAGCTGTGCCATTATTTGCAGATGAAGATGCTCGCCTTAGGATGGGAACGAGTTCTTCTCAAGCAAAGGTATGATGCCAAGGAGAATCAAGGTGGAAGTTTTGTTGATAACGATTAAGAAGCTCCGTGAATCAGGGTAATCTGGCTTTGAGTCCCAGTGAAAAACACCCTAAACACCTGCGATGCTTCAACATTCACAGTTCCCCGGGCGGGGCGACGTGTCATCCGCGAAATTCTTCGAGAATGCTCGAGGTCCTTCAGCACAGCCACGACGGCAATGTAACGACAAGCCTTATTGACCGCGCCCCACGAAGCGCGTTTCCTCTGTTTGACCCCGCTTCCTCCATTCCGCTCCATCCCGCCGACCTTCCTGGATCCGCCCGCACCTCCTAAAACCTATTTTGCTTCTACTTCTCGCCTCCCTCCCATCCACCTCGGGGATCTGTGGATCAGCTCCTCGCTTGCTACAACTGCATTGTGCGCCAGCCAATGGATTGGGAAACCACCATCTTTCGGCTTCTGCTCGCCATTGGCTGGAAACCCTCAGGTAAGATTCGTTCCTTGATCTCTCAGACGTTCGTTTGTATGGCAGGTTCTGGTTCGGCTCGTGCCTTCTGGCTTGCAAGACCTTCGACGTTTCTGAACCGTTCATTCCACTGCCAGCGTCAGCTGCCAGGCGATCCACGCAAGCGAACTGGGATTCCAGTAGCATGCTCGGTGGCAGGTTGTCCTCGGACGTGTCGGGGAATCCCTCCCTCCAGGTGCTTTGAGAGAATTGCTCCAAACCCATGTTTGGAGATTCGGCGTTGCACACGTGGCCTCAATTTTCTCGCGTGGTCCTACAATTGAACGATAATTGCTCGAGTGGCCTTGCCAGAGGATTCCCGCAGCCTTTGTTTTACCCGGCACATTACCCGAGAAGGGTATTGGTACCCCCAAAAAAAACGAAAACCCTCACGAACGGCATGCCATTCGGGAGGCATCAACCCTAAAAATTTATGGTTGATGCTTCCCGAATGTCATGCCTTCCGAGAGGGTTTTAGTGTTTTTTTTTGCCGGCGTTCAGAATTCCGCTGGAAGAGACACGTTCGATGAAAGACTTTCGGGGCTACAAACTCTTCTCGGGTAATGTGCCGTATAAACAAAAGGCTGCGGGAATCCTCTGGCAAGGCCACTCGAGGAATTATCGTGCAATTGTAGGACCACGCGAGCAAATTGAGGCCACGTGTGCAACGCTGAATCTCCAAACCCGTGCCTTGGGCAAATCTCTTCCGTGCCTGTGGTCATCCTTCACTTAGGACGCGTCACAATTGAAACATCGATCCTGCAAGGGATCGATGTGTGAGTGTACAGTAACTTCGCGAGCTCGTGAATGCTAGGGTATCCGCTTTTCGTTAGCTTTCGCCTAAACTCAGGTCACATTAAAGCTCAAGGCCCAAATTGCACAAGATTAGTAATCCTGTGCAAGGTTGGGTGTTGGGGGTGGGGTTGGTGAACGCGAAGTTCTGGGGGCACCGTGTGTTTGGGCACCGAAAGTCCCGAATTGCAGAGTTGAGAAACTTGCAATGTAACCAATCGGATTGCTTCCAAAACTTCCGAAACCAATCAGATTGCTTCTACACCTTCTGTAACCAATCAGATTGCTTCACACGAAGAGACAGCGCAAAAAACGCAAAGTGTGCAAGAATAGTAATCTTGGCCCGCGCGGTCCGCAATTTGGGCCTTGAGCTTTAAGATCGTCCAATATCGAGCCGCCACGGCACTGAAATCCCGCTTCAAGCCTTCACAACGCTCACAGACGTTAAAACATCCGCCAAGAATGGATCCTCCGGGCGATCTTGTCCCATGCAGGTTGAAACCTGGATGTGGCGATCGATGCTCACGATTTCGGTGTGTGGCTCGATCCTCATTCGGTGTTGCAATTGTGACGCGTCCTTCAGCTCACTGGCTTTGGCCAGCTCCGTTCATTTTATCAGGATTTATGGAATTATTTTGTTCCTTCAAACGTAACTTATACGGTGTTACTTATATAGAGTCGATAGTTCGTCTCCGCTGGATGCTTGCGGTTCCACGTCAGAAATGCCATACAAGCATGCGAGCTACCGATTCGTCAGTTACATGCCACCACTAGACGGAGAGGACCCACCACACACTCGCGTCCGTAGAAGTGTTCATATCCGACGGTGGGCATTGGACTGGAGACATTCGTGGCCGTTTAGCACGTTGATGTTCCCCAGGCCAGTCCAAGGGTGCGGCGTTGCCAAAATGTTACCAACTGCACCATGCAAATAACAAATTTAACCTCGCCGAACGCTTTCAAACCCACCGAATTCATAAAAACACTCAGCAGAATGAGCTCCAATCGAAACTCTCCAGGTGTTGTGGGAACTCCGAGGAGCTGTCGTGCCACCTTGAGCTGTTCGGGTCGTCGTCACGTCATTCGCTGGAATTTACTCGTCTGCAGCCGATGAAACACGGTGGATCCACTTTGGAGTCTGGTCGAGTTGAGTAGCATTTTGGAGTTGTGGTGGCGTTTCAGGAGAACTCCCATGTTGAAACTTCGAAGCATACTAGTGAATCCGTTCCTTCGTCCAGCTTCAATGGCTGTATGGTGTACTCTTAGCATGCATCGCCCAGCCAGTACAAGCAATAAGAGCGTATTACGTCTGGCTGATGCTTGCTACTACTTATCTCTTAGTATGCTCTCCTAGTTGCCTCGCGACTTTTCAAGTTTCACGTTTGCAGGCCATGAAGAACTACTTGTAAAACGTCACTGAAGTTCTATATCCAGAACATGACCAACACTCATCCCTCTCCGCGCTTCCGTCAGGGAGCCAATGGCAATCCCACCGCGTCATCCTCAACCGGATCGACCTTAACGGAACCTCTATTATCGGGTGCCGACACCAGCCGACGACCCTCCGTCATCACCGGGACCCAATCCAAGTCCCAATCCCCGAGCAGCAGCAGCGGCGGCGACCGCAGCGAGACTCACGGCGGAATACATGGCGGGATTCACAGCCCAGGCGGCAGCAGCAGCAGCAGCAGCAGCAGTCACAGACTCTCCTCCGCGACAAAAACGTTGGGGAATTTGATAGTGTCCATTGTGGGAGCGGGGGTCCTGGGACTACCGTACGCGTTCAAGCAGAGCGGGTGGTTATTTTCGCTCGTGTGCCTCGCGGCCATGGCGTGCGTGTCGTATTACGGCATGGTGCTGCTAGTCTCCGCGCGGCAGTTCGTAGAAGACGACGCGAATAACGCAACTGCCGCTGCATCAACAGCGGCAGCAGCAGCATCATCGTCATCAGCAGTAGCAGCATCAGCAGCAGCAGCGACAGGAGGGATTGCAGGTGCAGGTGCGACAGGCCGGTCGGTGCAAGCTTCTGGTGATGCCGGCTCTCGCGGGGACGTAGAGAGCGGTCGCGAGAAAGGGGGAGCGGGGAGGGAGCGAGCCGGGAGGGAGGGAGCGGGAAGCAGAGCCGGGGAGGTGTACGTGGTGAAGGTGAATTCGTACGGCGACTTGGGGTTCAGGCTGTACGGTGGGTGGGGCCGAGTGGCAGTGGACGCGATGATGCTCGTGAGCCAGGGCGGGTTCTGCGTGGCGTACCTGATCTTCATAGGCCAGAACGTGTCCAGTGTGCTCTCGCACTCCACCAAACACAAGGCTCTCGTCATTGCCGCCGTTGGTACGTGGCAGGTGGTTGCTGGTAGGTTGCAGGGGGTAGATGGCTGGTGGTTGGTGTGTGGTGATGGGGTAAGGTGTATGGTAGCATGTGTGTGCGCAAGTGCACTCACGTACCCTTTCCCCTCCCCTTGTCTTATTTTCCCTCCCTCAACCTGCACCCGCTCTGCCTATCGATCCCATCCCCCAAACTTCCCACTCCTCTGCGCTCTTCATCTCCCCCTTCCTCTCCCCATGGCAGCGCCCTTAGAAGTTCTACTGTCATGGATGCGCTCTCTCACTCGCCTTGCGCCTTTCAGGTAACCCTTCTGGCCTTTTAAGCTATCCTTTTCAGCCTTTCAGGTGACCCTTTTTGGCCCCTCCTTGTGTTCAAGGTTGTTAAGCTCATGCCGAATCCACCTCTTGCCTCACATTTCACTCTTTGTTCCTTGCCTTCCAATGCTGAATCCCTATTCTCGTTTGGTTCCACCTCTCCTCTTATGCTCCCTGCACGTAATTCCCTCCTTTGCAAACTTCCTTTCCCCTCTCCCCACTCTCTCCCATTCCCTGTCATGTTCCATCTCACCCTCCCTCCCCGCCCCCCCTCCCAACACCTCCCTTTCCACCCCCCCACCTCCCTTTCCAACCCTCACACTCTTTCTCTACCCTTCACCCTCCCTTCCCACCCTTCACCCTCCCTCTCCACCCCTCACCATCTCTCTCCACCCCTCTCTCCCCAGCATATTCGCGGACGTGGTTAACGTCTCAGCCTTCGCCCTTGTAATCTGCTACGGCATCCGCTCCTTCCACGGCTTCTCCCACCTCTCCGCCTTCACGGGCCTCTCCAACGCGCCCATGGCTCTCGGCGTGGCAGTCTACGCATTCGAGGGCGTCGGCATGACTCTCCCTTTGGAGGCCTCCATGAAACAACCCAGCCGGTTCCCCTCGGTGCTCGCCCTCGGTCTGGGGATCATCTCAGTGACTTACGCAGTGGTGGGCCTGGCGGGGTATGTAGGATACGGGGAGGAGACTCAGGAGATTATCACGCTGAACTTGCCGCCGGGGTGGCCATCAGAAGCAGTGAAGCTGGGAATCTGCGCTGCTCTTTTCTTCACATTCCCTGTCATGATGCATCCTGTGCATGAGATTTACGAGCGCCGGCTCTACCTCTCCCCCTGGGTGCAACGGCACGTGCTTTCGAACAATGCTCTTCGCCGCACGCTCTTCCGCTCTCTCCGTTCGCTGGCTGTGCTGGCAGTGGCGCTGGTGGCTGTGGGTGTGCCGCATTTCTCGGCGTTCATCTCCCTTATAGGCTGCAGCGTGTGCTCTGCATTAGCCTTTGTCTTCCCTGCACTGTTTCATCTGAAGGCCTGTAAAGGCCGGACGAGCGGGGTAGTTGTGGCTGGAAACTGGTTTCTGGTGGTGTTTGGAGCGGCATTTGGCTTTTGGGGGACGATAGATGCTGTCAAGAGATTTCAACAGGGCCCAGGGTGAGGCGGGTTGTTTGGAACGGGCGGGTGAATGAAGGAGAGGAGTGTGGTTGAGACAGAAGCAGCAGAGAGACTTGTGGAGCAGAGAGCAGTATAATTGGAAGCATTGAGAGCTTTATTGTTAGGTACTTGAGCAGGAGAGGTTGTGTCAAGAGATTACATATGTGGTGCATGCATCATTGGCAGGCACAGGGCATGACATGGGACTAGTGGAGCCAGCCAATGAGGATATCGTGATGCGTGACACCCATCTAGTCCTGACCACTACAATATATCCAGACAGGTACAGTATGAGCTGTGGAAGCAGCAAAACGGTGACTACAAACAAGTATGTTTAGTTCTCTTATATATAATTTAGCATGTTTACGAATTGTGTACCTACGGTACCATACGTTTTTATGAACGAAATGAATGCCAAAATGAAACCGCCACATTGCATTCAAATCTCGAATTTGTTTCAAGCTGGAGAAGCTTGTACAGGTTAAGGTTAAGGTTATATTAAGGTCGTAACCATGTACAACAAAGCATAGAGCAGCTGGAAATATGGTCTACACCAACCAACAGCCCAAAGGCGTACGTAGGAAACACGTTATTTCCTTATCAACTGATAACCTCCAGCAAGGTTGGGGAGCGCTCTATGCTAAAAAATGAGATGTGCCTAGGGGGGACGAAAGGGGTCTCCGAGAAGCCATGACTGTCAGGGGTCCACTGGTGATCCCCGATTGATCCTAGGAAAGGGTTACAGGCATGTTGGTCTGGGGGTTATGGGCGCACTGATCCGCTACTTAATAAGCCCTTTTATCCCAGTGGTTAGTGGCTGGGATTCTGACATGGTATCAGAGCAAAGGTCTCGGGTTCGAATCCCAGTGTGTGCACTTCGGGCATCCCAGTGCGGGGGGGTGTCAGAGGTCCACTGGTGATCCCCGATTGATCCTAGGGAAGGGTTACAGGCATGTTGGCCTGGGGGGTTATGGGCGCACTGACCCGCTACTTAACAAGCCCTTTTATCGCAATGGTCTAGTGGTTGGGATTCTGACATGGTATCAGAGCGAAGGTCTCGGGTTCGAATCCCAGTGTGTGCACTTCGGGCATCCCAGTGCGGGGGGGTGTCAGGGGTCCACTGGTGATCCCCGATTGATCCTAGAGAAGGGTTACAGGCATGTTGGCCTGGGGGGTTATGGGCGCACTGATCCGCTACTTAATAAGCCCTTTTATCCCAGTGGTTAGTGGCTGGGATTCTGACAATGACGAGCGAAGATCTGGGTGGATAGAAGGGTTGCCCTCCTGATAAAAAACATAAAAGCGTAGTCGGGTGGCCAGCGTAAGACGAGAGGCCGAGCGTTGTTGTTTCTTAACTGATTATTTCTTCCTGCGCCAGAGGAAGATTTTGAAAGCTAGGAGGAATTGTGCCAGGATGAGTTGGAGAGTATCGAACCGGGAGGAGGGTGAGTCGTGGAATTTACGATCACAGCGCGCACTCCAAACAGCCTTCGCGGAGGCACCTACCAGAAGGCTCCAGGGAGCCACCTGGCCAGCCCTCGAGGCGAGCGGAAAGAGCAAGAGCTCGGGAGGAGGAGATCAGTGGAGGTGGCGGCGAGCGACAGATGAGAGGGCGGAGATCACCGCAGGAGCCACCCCGCACTCGTAGAAGATGTGGGAGATAGTCTCAGTGGGAGCAGAAGGACAGAGTAGGCATGTCCTTTGATCAGCAGCAAAAGGGAAACGAGAACCCGAGGGAAGAGCACGAGTGTAGAACCGGTACAGGATGTTGTCAAACTGTATGTTTGTGTTCTCTCTAGGCTATAGTGGGTTAGCCTACAAGGGGTACAACACTTTAGGGTTAGGTACTTGTACTCATGCATGCTACCTAGTCCATCATTCCTGCCTGCTTATTCTAACATGGTATTAGAGCAGAATCGTTCCTAGGGCCCACCGAACGTTCCACCCTGCCCTACCCGTAGTTTTTTTCTTCCTACGCTGCCCCTGCAGCCGCGCTGCCCCTGCCGCGCTGCCCCTGCGACCGCGCTGCCCCTGCAGCCGTGCTCGCCCCTGCGACCGCGCTGCCCCTGCAGCCGTGCTCGCCCCTGCGACCGCGCTGCCCCTGCAGCAGTACTCGCCCCTGCGACCGTGCTGCCCCTGCAGCCGTCCCTGCCCCTGCGACCGTGCTGCCCCTGCAGCCGTGCCTGCCCCTGTGGCCCGCGTGCTGCCCCTGCAGCCCGCGCGTTCGCCCCTGCAGCCCGTGGGCGCTGCCTCTGCAGCCTGCGCGCCGCCCTGTCGAGCCGTGCGTCGCCCCTGCAGCCCGTGGGTGCTGCCCCTGCAGCCCGCGCGCCGCCCTGCCGAGCCGCGCGTTGCCCCTGCAGCCCGTGGGCGCTGCCCCTGCAGCCCGTACGCCGCCCTGCCGAGACGCACGTCGCCCCTGCAGCCCGTGGGCACTGCCCCTGCTGCCCGCGCGCCGCCCTTCCGAGCCGAGCGTCGCCCCTGCAGCCTGGGCGCCGCCCTGCCGAGCCGCGCGCCGCCCCTACAGCCCGTACGCCGCCCTGCCGAGCCGCACGTCGCCCCTGCAGCCCGTGGGCGCTGCCCCTGCTGCCCGCGCGCCGCCCTGCCGAGCCAAGCGTCGCCCCTGCAGCCTGGGCGCCACCCTGCCGAGCCGCGCGCCGCCCCTACAGCCCGTGCGCCACCCTGCCGAGCCGCGCGTCGCCCCTGCAGCCCGTGGGCGCTGCCCCTGCAGCCCGCGCGCAACCCTAAACCCTAAAAAAAAAAATACAACTACTGCTGCTGCTACTCGTGCTACTGCTGCTACTACTGCTGCTGCTGGTGGAGGTGCTGCTGGGAGTGCTGGAGGTGCTGCTGGTGCTCGAGGAGCTGGAGGTGCTGGACCTACTCCTGATCGTCGCTGTCTGTCATGGCCACTATCGCGGCAGTTGCTGCGGCCAGGGGTGGACAGCAGCGGGCACTGCCTCTTTCGGACGACCCCACCCCTCAGCAGCTCCGGGAGTGGGTTGTTCAGCGAGGCAGGCCTGGTGGTGGAGGTTTTGATTTTAAGTGGCCTAAGCGACGTCGCGACTGTGCTTCTCAGCGATGCGTCCCTGGCTGTGTAGAGGTTCCTGCTCTCGGTTCTAGTGAGTCTGCTGCCGCCCCAGGTGCTAGTGAGTCTGCTGCCGCTCCAGGTACTAGTGAGTCTGCTGCAGCTCTAGGTGCCCGTGAGTCTGCCGACGCTCTAGGTGCTAGTGCGTCTACTGCCACAGGTCCTGCCTCAGCTGAGGTCTTGCACACTTTCACGCTTGACTCAGGCGCGTCACGTTGCTTCTTTCGTGATTGCACCACAGTCACACCACTCACAGCACCTGTCCCAGTCTCACTGGCTGACCCCTCTGGGGGCCCAGTAGTTGCGAGAGCCTGTACGGTCCTCCCTTGTCCAGCAGTCCCCTCCGGCTCTCTGTCAGGTCTCCACCTCCCCACGTTCTCGACGAACTTGGTGAGCAACGCTGCCATTCAGGATATCTGGGTTGATACCTTTATTCCTGGAGGGCAGCGTGTGGCGATCTGTACGTGCTCCCGGACTGGCCGTCACCTGGCTACATTCACTCGACAGCCTGGGTCTAGTCTGTACACACTGACCACTTTGTCTGCACAGGTGGCTGAGTCAGGTCAGGTGGCCGCGTCGAGTCGGGCGTCTGCGTTGGAACAGTTAGTTGCGTCTTGCTCGTGCAGATTACTCACGCACGAGACTCAGCGCTGGCACCACCGTCTTGGTCACCCCTCCCTGCCGCGTCTACGCATCATGCACTCCCGTCTCCTTGTCTCTGGCCTCCCCAGGACCCTGCCCCCCTGCCGCGCTCGCTTGCCCCGCCGTGCCTTCCTTGCGTCGAGGGGCGGCAGCGCGCCGCTCCTCACTCCTCCAAGTTTCCTCCGACCACTGCTCCTCTGTAGACTCTCCACATGGATGTGTGGGGCCCGGCCCCCATCGGTGGAACGGACCTCGAGCACTACTTCCTGCTGGTTGTTGACGACTACACACGCTACACCATTATCTTCCCCTTGCGTCGCAAGGCGGATGTCAGCGGTGTCCTGATCCCCTGGATCCGTGCTACTAGTCTCCAGCTGCACGAGCGGTTTGAGCAGGACTTCCCAGTCCTGCGTCTGCACTCTGACAGGGGCGGTGAGTTCTCCTCTGACCTCCTTGCGGGGTTCTGTCAAGACGAGGGCATCCGCCAGACTTTCACGCTTCCGGCCTCTCCTCAGCAGAATGGGATTGCTGAGCGTCGCATTGGCTTGATCATGGAGGTTGCTCGCACCTCCATGATCCATGCGGCTGCTCCCCATTTTCTGTGGCCGTTTGCGGTCGGATACGCTGTGCATCAGCTCAACCTCTGGCCCCGTGTCTCTGTGCCAAAGACCTCGCCCACCCTCAGGTGGACAGGGAAGGCTGGTGATGCGTCAGTGTTTCGGGTCTGGGGCGCGCTCTCCCTTGTTCGCGATGCCAAAGCGAGCAAGCTCTCCTCTCGCACTCTCCGCTGCGTCTTCCTTGTCTTCCCCACTGACGCCCCGCCGTGGCAGTTCTACCACCCGCGCTCGCGTTGAGTCTTCTCCTCCCAGGACGTCACCTTTGACGAGTCTGTCTGTTACTACCAGTTACACCCGCACGCGTCCCACCCGGTTCCCCTAGCACCCCTCTTCCTGGTACCAGTCCCCCTCCCGGTAGACCCCCTCCCCCCACAGGGTCCTGCTCCCTCATGTGTGTCTCAGGTCGACCCACCCCCCTTGGATGAGCCAGTGGAGATCTCTTCTGACTCCTCTGGCCCAGCTGAGGGGGGTGACCCAGTTGCGGACGACACGGCGGCCACTCGCCGCTCTCCACGCTTGGAGACCCCCCGGGTTTTCCGCCT